AATGGCATGATTTTATCCTTTATGGCTAAAAATACTCTGTTGTATATTATCTTTTTATCTGTTGATGGGCTACCTAGGTTAATTCCATAACTTGGTTATTATGTATAGTGTCACCATAAACATGTGTGTATGTAAGTATCTCTTTTGTATGCTGACTTTGATCCATCAGATGCATAGGAGTGGCATAGCTGGAATATGTAGATCATGTTTACTGTTTTGAGGAACCTCCATGTAGTGGAACCCCCTTTCTCCACAAAAAAAAATCTTAACTGGGCTTCTCCAGGGCTTTTCCAGAAATCTTCACCATGGCTGATTTTAGGACTGTCAGCACAAGAGTCTCTACAAAAGAGTTCAATGTAGATAGGTTTCCATTTCCATATTGCCCTGTTTTTTGGCCACAAGCCTAGAAGAAATCAGCACTCCTGATGCTGGGCACCCCCTTACTAGTTTTTCACAAACATATCCAGTTTAGTAGTTTGTAGAAATGTGCAAACAAGGCCTCTGGCCTTAAGCTGAAGCTTCACAGAGATGTCTACATTTCTATGAGAAGTTACCAATTTGGCACATGGTAACAGCTGGCAAGGGGAGGAAAGAAAGGGGAGAAGAAGCTCTCCCTTTTTCAGGTGCTGTCCGTTAAGGGTTAACTTCCCCAGAACAGTGAAAGGAAAAGCTGCTTTTATGTGAACTTCTGCAAACTGCGGACTTCTGAGCCCCTCCCCTTACATGCTGGGTATAAAATTCTGAAACTCCCTGAACTCAGGATTCAGGAGATTGACTGATTACAGCAAAAGCTGTGCCGTCTGAACCTGGATGCAGCCAAATAAAACTGTTTCCTGCTATCTTTGGTGCCTTGCCTCATCTATCCCTACAACATCCATACCATTTTTCCCTAGTAACTGTACTAATTTACTTTCTTGCCAACAATAAATGGTGCTAGGAAACCGGACTTCCACCTGTAGAAGATTGAAATTAGGTCCCTCTTATCCTGTACAAAAAGAGAAAAAAAAATTTAAAAACTCAAAGTGGTTCAATGACCTTAATTAATGTAAGATTTGAAACTACTAAAGGAAAACATAGGGGAAAACTTTAAGATACTGGCTCAGTAATAACTTCCTTATTTCAATAAATAATAATGAGAATTGACAAGTGGGTTTACAGCAAATTTTAGAATTTATGCACAGCAAAGAAAATAATTGAGTGAAAAGACAGTCTACAGAATGGCAGAAAATCTCGGACAGCCATTCATCTGACAGAGAATTAATATCCAGAATATATAAACAATTTAAAAGAAAATAACAACAAAAGAACAAATAACTCAATAAATAAATGAACAAATGAACTGAATGGATATTTCTGAAAAGAAGTTTAAATCCTTATGATGCAGGAGATTGAGGCAGGAGGATCCTAAATTTCAGGCCAGTCTGAGCAATTTAGCCAGACCCAACCTCAAAATAAACAATAAAAAGGGACTGGGGATATAGTTCAGTAGTAGGACATACCTGGGTTCAATCCCTTTACTGTACACACAAGACAAACAAAAATCCTGGTGCTGTTACTGAAAGCTTGGTCCTTGTCCCCAATGCCAATCCAATAGGAAGACAAGGCTTTAAGAAAGAAAGGAAAAGAAGTTTTATTTCTTTGCTCGCAAAGAAGAAGTAACTGGGATTCTTGGTGCTGAGACTGTGAATCTTCCAGTCAGGGGGAGCAGAGAGCTTTTAAAGAGATGATTCAAAGGCTACATTCCAAGAACCTCATCAAAGGGTTTTAATTCACTGGTGGCTGTGAGAGAGATGCATTTCTTAGATCTGGTGAAAGGACAGTCCCAGGCTGAATTACTTTCTCTCTCTCTGGCCTGGGTTCACAAGGACAGATAACCTGGCCTAGGATGGGAAGTAGGGTGATCTTGTTTTCCCCAAGGTTAGGAAGGGGGAGAGGTAGAAGAGAAAATATCAGTTTTAAAATAAGCCGCAATAGCAGAACAGTAAGAGTTACGTTCAAAGCATAAAGTGAACTCTTATTACAGTAAGGAGGGGGAAGAAGGGAGGAACTCATACACTGTTGGTTCTTTTGTGTGTGTGTGTGTGTGTGTGTGTGTGTGTGTGTGTGTGTGTGTGGCTATAGGAATCAAAACCAGACCTCATGATTGCTGGGCAACACTCTATCACTGAGCTATATACCACCCCTTTATTTTATTTTGAGTGAGCATCTCATTCATTTACCCAAGCTGGCCTCAAACTTGCATCTACTTCAACCTCTTCTATAGGTGGAATTGCAAGCATTCACCACCACTGCTGACTGTTGGTTTATTTTTAAAATATAATTCAGAAGCAAGGCTGACCTACCAATCCTACTGGCAATGTAAACAATGTATCTGTTGGTCTTTAATTGGTGGATATTATGGTGCTGGGGTGGGGGTGGGGGATTCACTGTGAAACAAATTAAGTACCATCTGTTACCCCACCACTTTCCTTCCAAGCATCCTAAATGTTAGCAGATTACTTAGTTCACAGCCTTGCCCCAACTTGTCCGAGTGAGTGCAGGCAGAGAGGAAGAATGGGGGTAGCATAGAAAGGACACACCAAGAAGGGAAGCCCAAGAGGGACGGGCAAGTGCCTACACTCTCCACCTTCCCAGCATTTTCCTCAGTGCCCTGGTAACCTCCCTATTCCTCAGGCTGTAGATGAGTGGGTTGAGCATTGGGGTAAGAATGGTGTAGAAGATAGAGGTGGCCCTGTCTCTTGCTGGTGTCCTAGCTGAGGCCCTTTGCATATAGCTAAATATGGCTCCACTGTAGTAGAGGCCCACCACAGCCAGGTGGGAGGAACAAGTGGTCAGAGCCTTCTGCTTCCCCTCAGTGGAGGGCATCCTAATCACAGCTGTGAGGACCCGGGCATAGGAAGCCACAATGACTCCCAGGGGCAGCAGCAGCATGACCACACAGCATGCATAGATGAGGTCCTCAAAGAGGGACGTGTCAGCACAGGAGAGACGCAGAAGGGCAGGGACCTCACAGAAGAAATGATCCACCTCCAGAGAGCCACAATAGGGAAAACTGAAGACTGTACCAACATCGATCACACTGTCAGCCACCCCACCTATCCAGGATGCCACAGCCAGCAGATAGCAGGTCTTCCAGCTCATGAACACAGAGTACCGCAGAGGGTGGCAAATAGCTACATACCTATCGTAGGCCATGACTGCCAAGAGGAAGCACTCGGCTCCTCCTACCATGACCACTAGGAAGATCTGAGCTGCACAGCCTGCCCAAGAGATGAACTTATGGCCTGAGAGAAAGTTGGCTGCCATCTTGGGCACCACAGCACAAACCAGGGTCAAATCCATGATGGAGAGCTGACTGAGGAAAAAGTACATAGGAGTATGCAGGCGCCTGTCACCCTGGATGAGCAGGAGGAGAAGGATGTTGCCAGTCAGGGCCCCAGCAAAGGCCAAAAGGACCAGGGAAAAGAGGAAGAAGTCATATGATGAGTGGCTGAGCAGACCTCGAAGGATGAAACTCGATAGGAAGGTGTGGTTCCAGAGCTCCATAGCCATGACCCTGAGAAACAAACAAAAGAACAAATAAAACTATTTTCCTGCCATCTCTAGGGAACAAGGAAATACTTGTTTGTTTGTTTGTTTGTTTGTTTCCAAAAGTAGACCCTGCATGTGAGAGTGATCTGGCTATGCCATCTGCAACCTCATTGATTACAAGGGTTGATCTGGCTGATGAAGCAGGTGTCCCCGTCCTCCCTCAACACTCCATATGCGTGCCTCCCAAAACTGAGCTCTGTGGAAGAGGAACACCTTCCCCAATAAAGGCTAGTTCTTTGGTCATAGATATGCTAGTTGCTGTACTCCCCTTCTAGAACCTTCAGACAAGCTCTCAGAAGACAGAGCCCTCCCTCCTTTTCACACTGCCCTACTCTTTTTTCCTATACTTTAAGCCCATTTTTTTCTCAGCTGTCCTCTTTCCAAGCCAGATTTGATCCTTTTTTAATTTTGAAAGATGAAGGATAAGGCAAGCAGAGGCAGGGAAACCAGAGGGTGCAGAAGAGAGAAGGGTAGTGAATAAATGCCCAGTGAATAGCTGTAGATGTTGGAAAAGGACAAATAGATTTAAGAGGTATGGAGAGTGAATGGTTGGAGGACAAGATAAAGGAGAAAGGAGAGGCATGGCAGGCTTAAAGGCTAATACAAATTAAAAATAGAGATTTAATTCTTCTTGTTAAAAATAATGAGAGATTCTTCCCCAACTATCTTAGAACATTTAATTTGAACACTTGTAAGTACTATCTGAAATGTATGTAAATCTTTTTAAAACTTTTAAAACTAAGTAAATTTCTTGCCAGCATTCTGACCCAGGAATGTCTGATGTCTCAAGGACCTGAGAGCCAGATCTCTTCAAAATATGATTACCAAAAAGGATCATGGAGGAGCTGGGATTGTAGCTCAGTGATAGAGCACTTGCCTGGCACATGGGAAGCCCTAGGCTCAATCCTCAGCACCACATAAAAAACAAATTAATAAAATAAAGATTTTTTAAAAAAAAAATATTTTAAAGACTGTGGAATGGGACATGGTGATGCACACTTGTCATTCCAATGACTCAGGAGTCTGAGGCAAGGCAAAGCACAAGTTCAAGACCAGCCTGGGCAACTTAGCAAGACCTTGTCCCAAAGTAAAATTTTAGAGAGGGCTAAATATATAACTCAATGGTAGAGTGCTTGTCTACAAGTGAAAAGCCCTGACCAATCTCTAGCACCAAGAGAAAGGAAGCTCAGGGACTGGAGATAAAAATCAGGGGTAAAGCACTTGTCCAGCCTATGTGAGACCCCACTAAGAAATATTGTGCTCTTATCTCTCAGTCTCCATGGAACAGTAAGAGCCTAAATTCAGCCTGGCATCTCCCTCCAAGATGCAGAACTACCTCCTATCAGAAAGATGTGAGAAGTTTATTTTTCCTTTGGATTAGGCTAATTAATTAGCACACTGTCACTCCAAATGTCAAGTGAATTTAAGATAAACTATGTACGATAAATGGATGTCAATTCCTCTTAAGATGAAAATTTGAGGATACAGAAAAATAAACCAAGTATCAAAAGGAAAAGTATCCACGAACAGTTGCAAAACAAGTAATTCAAGAGAAACCCAGACCCTCCCCAACTGCCCCTGGCCCAATGGCCCTTCTAAAAGTAACCACAGGAGGGTAATGTGAAAGTACTGGAGAAACTGGCTTGAAGTCATGAAACTCTGCCTTGCCTCTATATCCAGTTCAGCCTCTAGTTACTGTCCCTCTATAAATATTAATACCCAAGACTAAGAGATTGCACTTTCTCTTTCTGGAGATGACTCACATTCTCCCTTGAATGTCCTTTGTTGCTTTGCCCCCAAAGTTTCTCACTCTCAAGATGACTGGTGTTGAAGCCAGTCCCGATGGCACATGCCTATAATCTCAGCGACTTGAGAAGTTGAGGCAGAAGATAGCAAGTTCAAAGCCAGCTTCAAAAATTTAGCAAAGTCCTAAGCAACTTAGCAACACCCTGTCTCAAAATCGAAAATATAAAAAGACTGGGGATGTGGCTCAGTAGTTAAGTGCTCCTGGGTTTAATCCCCAGCATACACACAAGAAAAGATGACTGATATTCTCCCAAAATAAGACCCCTATTTCAGAAAAAGAAAAAAAAAGAATTCAAGAATGTCCCCTAAGATGTTGGACAAAATTTCAGTTAGACAAGAGAAGTATGATTTAGTGATCTATTTCATAGCATGGTGACTACAGTAAATAAGTATTGTATATTTCCAAATTTCTATAAGTATATATTTAAAATATTCTCACCACAAAAAAATGATAAGTATGTGAGGTGATAGGTTTGTTAATTAGCTTCATCAGATCATATTATAATATCATATCAAATATTATTTGTCAATTGAACATAAATATATTTTTTAAATCCCTTAACAGAAGTTGGAAAACTATCAAGGAAAGACAAAGAATACCGACACAGAAATGATAAGAGAGTATTTATGAACAGAAGGAAGCAGGAGTGAGATTCCTGGGGGCCTACAGTCATGATTAGGTTCTCAGATATGTTTATGTCTCTGGAAAACCTGGGAGTATGTTTACACATGCAGATTCCTTGCTCTGCCCAATGTCTCCCCCAAGGTTCTAGTTCGCTGGATCTGGATAGGACTCTGCAGTTAGTTATTTTTTAAAAGCTCTTCATCCAGCAGTTCAGGAGGCTGAGGCATGAGGATTGTGAGTTCAAAGCCAGCCTC